AAGTGGCAAACTGGACTGCTGGGCAAAAGTCGGGCAGCTTTCATGAAAGCCGGGCGGCTTTCGTAGTCTGCAACTACGAACAGCTCCTTTGGAGTGGCGGTTTCCGGCGATTTCGACTCCTATCGATTCACCAACTCTTCTAAGTTAATTTCCACTACTTTATGACAATATTCTACACTTTTAAACGTGTAGAACTCATGGTTTAATCCACCATATGATTTCTTACAAATCATACACCATAAAACTAGTTAAAAGAAGATAGTTGAGTTCTTACCTTCTTCCTAGCTAGTTTTCCACTGGAATTTGCTTGCCTCTCACTTCCTCCAAGCTTGAACTTGATGAGGAGTTGCTGGAGCTTCTCGTTTCCTCTGGGTTGGCCGGATGATTGCAAGGAGGTGGGTGAAAGATGCCCTCCCAATCACCCATATAATGTAGGATAGGACATGGGGCATGTGTTTTTGTCTCAAGGACACTTCTCACCCCCTCCTACGTACTACTTAGTCAACTAACACACATAAAAACGTGGGGTGGCCCCCAGTTATGTGGGAGGTCATCCCATTATGTCCCGGTGTGTACAATCGGCCCCGAAAGTTGTATTTCTCGGACTGCTTTAATTATATTTTATTTTATCGGGCCAAATAAAATATATCACGCGTTCCTAATAATTACGGGCCTTTAGAATAGGTGTACATTCCCCAACATTAACTTAGAAGTCTCCGAAACTCACTTCGAGCTGTTATCCGCTAAATTACCAATACCGGTAATTGGGCCTCGTTTGACCCACCGGTCAACTCCATGCCCTTCCCATGGCCCCAATAAAATATCCACTACCATATAGATGTCATCTAGACCAAGATGAATATAATATGTGGTTCTGGAATTATCGGGCGGTCCCCGTTCCCGCTGTGGGCCCCGCATGCAATTTACTGTTCACGTAAAAGAAATAATAAAATTTTACAATTACGTAAATTCATAAATCATCCTTCAAGGTTTATTACATAATTTACTAAAAGTAAACATGCTTGGGGACGGTGTCACACAGCATGTCATCAACATAGAGACATATGATCACACCCGCCCTTAAGGCATCAAATCGGCTATAGACACACTTGTCCGATTGGTTTAAACTAAAACCATTGGACAAAATAACTTCATCAAACTTTTGATGCCATTGTTTGGGTGCTTGTTTCAGCCCATACAATGATTTGACAAGTTTACAAACCTTATGCTCATTTCCCGGCATAACAAAACCTTCCGATTGTTTCATGTAAACTTCCTCAACAAGATCACCATTTAAAAATGCCGTCTTGACATCCATCTGATGTATAATCAGATTGTGTATAGCCGCCAAAGCAATTAACAACCTAATGGTTGCAATTCAAGCAACCGGTGCATACGTATCAAAATAGTCAATTCCGGGTTTTTGTCTAAAACCTTGAATGACAATCGAGCCTTGAACCTGTCAACAGTTCCATCCACTTTCATCTTCTTTTTGAAGATCCATTTGCAACCTAAGGGTTTAGAACCCGGGGACAAATCCGACAACACCCAAGTGTTGTTCTCCATAAATGATGACATTTCATCATCAATTGCCTCCTTCCAAAAGGCAACATCTCGAGATTCCATTGCTCTTTAAAGGTCTTTGGATCATCATCAACTTGGTAACAATATGAATATTGTACCCCCGTTTTCATCCCTTGAACCTTCCACTAAATACAAGTGAAAATCGGGACCAAAGTCTTTCAGGATGCGACCTCGTTTGCTTTTCCTGATTTGTGGTGCTTCAGGATTCAAAGCACCATCCAAACATTCTGGAACTTGCACCTCACTAGTTCTTGGAACTAGTTCCTTTAGTCTTTGAATTGATGAAAATCTCATCTCATCAAAGATCACATCCCGAGACTCAATCACGGTGTTAACCGCTACCGCATCATTAGGTTCTATTACATAAAACCTATAAGCCTTGGAATGTTCAACATACCCTAAGAATATGCAATCAATTCCCCTTTCCCCCAAAGTTTTCCTTTTGGGCTCGGGCAATTTTACAACCGCACTACAACCCCAAACCCGAAAATATTTCAAATTCGGCGCTTTCTTGTACCAAAGCTCATATGGGTTGTCTTGTTCCTTTTATTTAGAACCCTATTTAGAACATAGCAATTCGTGAGCATGGCCTCTCCCTGAAACCCCTCACTCAAACCCGAGTAGGAAAGCATGGAATTAACCATTTCGTTTAACACTCGATTTTTCCGTTCGGCCACACCATTTTGTTGTGGTGTATACGGAGCCGTGGTCTCATGAATGATTCCAACAGATTGAAAATAATGGGGATCCATATATTCTCCTCCCCGATCAGTCCTAAGACATTTAATCGAATTACCCAATTGCAATTCAACCTCGGTTTTATACACTTTAAATTTCTCTAAAGCTTCATCCTTAGTGTGTAATAAATACACATAACAAAACCGAGTTGAATCCTCAATAAAAGTAACAACATACTTTTTATTGCCAAGGGAAGGAGATGAGTGAAATTCACATAGATCACTATGTACAAGATCCAAAATAGCCGAATTCCTTTCAACATTATGAAACGGTTGTTTTGTGATCTTAGTAAGCATGCAAATCCTACACTTATCATCATTAATATCAAAAGCCGGAATTAAACCATCTTTAGACATTTCATGCATTTTTCTAAAATTAACGTGAGCTAGTCTAGCATGCCAAATCATACAATCATTCATGGAAGATGCCACAAAAACATAATTATCACTAGAAATTAATTTATTCACAACATTAAAATGAAACATGCGATTTGATAAATATCTAAAACCAACAAACACACCACCCTTGGACAGAATATATTTATCGGATTCAATCACTTGTTTGAACCCTAAATTATTCAACACACTTCCCGAAACAAGATTCTTTCGAACCTTCGGTACATACAAAACATCAAACAACGGAATTGTTTTACCAGAAGTAAATTCTAAAACAACTACACTCTTTCCCAAGATAGGCACCATTGACTCGTCTCCCATGCGTAAGAAGGAACCGACCTCCACTGGTTCTAGGTCTTCAAACCATCCTTTATGCTTACACACATGGCTCGTAGCCCCCGAGTCAATCCACCATGCACAGTCATCATCCTGTACATAAAAAGATTCTGGAATGAGTGATACATAATTCTGGACAGAATTATCAAAGTTAGTCGGGAACTGACCTCCTTTCCGTGGAACCAGGTCCTTAGACCGTTCCTGTCCACTGCCACTCGTTCCAGCGCCATTCTTGTTCAGTTTCACACGGCAATCACGCTTGACATGTCCAACCTTTTGACACCTCTAACAAACCAAACCTTTCGATTTCTTGTTGGGTTTGTCATGGTCTTCATACTTGCGCTTTTTCCTCTCCCTTTATCTTTCGGGTTAGATTTATTATCCTCAACCAAGTGAACATGAGCCAGTCTAGATTTAACTTCACCCATAACTTGATCATTCTCTTGCACACGAAGATTCTCATCAATGCACAAGTGACTCCCAAGTTGAACCAATGACAGTTCCTCATCTTGATGTTTTAAAGAACGTTTGAAATCCTTCCAAGAGGGTGGAAGTTTGTCAATTATACTCGACACGGCATATGACTCATCAACACCTATCTTGTGGAGTTTAAATTGACCAAGAACACGAAGGAGTTCATTGTATTGTTCCATAACCGGCCTTGAGTCAACCATTTTATAATTATTAAAATCACTCACCAAGAACTTCTTACTAGAAGCATCCTCGGCGATGTATTTTGACTCAAGAGAATTCCATAATTCCTTCGCACTCTCAACATTTTGGTAAATATCAAATAACGCATCGGACATACCGTTAAGAATGTGGCCTCTACATATGTAGTCATCGTTCTCCCACTTGTTACGCCTCCTAGTTTGTTCCAAGGTTTCGTCCTCCATCACTTCTGGCATCGGAGAGCTCAACACATACACAACCTTCAAAGTGGTGAGGAGGAAGTGCATCTTCTTTTGCCATCTACGGAAATCGTTCCCTTGAAACTTGTCCAATTTGTTGAACTTGGATGTCATCTCTTCCACGGTACTCATGATTATCACAAACAAAATATCAATTCGATTGTTGGGGTAAATCACGTAGGGGGTGATAATCGAGTACTGGATTGCTTAAGGATCGTGTAAGTGCACTTTCCGAATTGATATTTCTCCCCTATGTCTGGGTTACAAGAAATTCAATCTAGGATAATCCTTAAGGACACTCTAGAACTTAGGCACAAGAACTAGAGCCAAACTAGTCAGTATATGGATTGTTATCTTTAATTTGAATGCCAAAAGTGATCAAGATATGTTGTATCTCTCTCCTCTATCGTCTCTGTACGAAATATGGTGATATATATCCATATTACACGTCCCAGGCAGTTGCAACACGTTTTGGAATAACTGTGACAGTTTTTGGAAAAACTGCACGAAACTGCCCAACCGCTCTAGACCTCAGTCTAGAACCATCACACATCAGAAGCCCTTATTTGACCTTTTTTTCAAACTCAAATTATATCTTTATCATGCCAAACTAAGAGCCCATTTGGTAACTCTCTTTTTCAACTTATCAACCAACTTTTTAATCAAATACGTAACTTTTGACTTCACGTTTTGAATTGTGTAATAATACGCAAAAGTAAGGTTGGAGTTACTTTTCTAACTGTATTGGCTGAAGTTATTGTAGATGAGCATTTTAGTTATGTTTCATAACAATAGTTTAATACAATAATTAGAGAACGCTATAGAGAAAATTAGATAAGAATAACGCATTGGTGTATGACCCATTGATTCTCCACGTTTCTTGGCAGCTGCAAGTCTAGTGCTTCAATGGTGGCGTAATAGCATACAGTAGGGACTAAATTCTGCTTATCCAAACGTTTATCTGCTTATGTCATAGATAGAGTTGTCTATATACAAACAATTCATATAATAAATAAATTGATACGTGTTTGTCACTGTGAATTGCACGTTATTTTGATTAGAAATGTGAAACATTATGAATGAGATTATAGGAAATATAAAAGTATTTTTATTCTTTACATTTTTACAAGAGTGAAAATTAAGCCAGCGGATGGAGTTAGAAAATCATGATCAACATGATTATGAAGGAGAGATTAATTTGGGATTATTCATATGTATAAAACGAAGGATCATACAAAGCCTTGTATATACATATCGCCAATATTACACTAACGAGAGCACCATAGAGAGAATTATATAACAATGCATTTCTTTGCTTCAATGGCGGAGTAATAGAATACTTATACGATGTCTTATAAAACATCTCTCCAATTCTTTCGCCTGCCACTTCAGTGATGGACACTGCATCCGTGATCTCTTTCACTTGCTCTTCAGTGAGCTTCACCTTCACTGAACCAATGTTGTCATGAAGGTTTTTTATCTTAGTTGTTCCTGCACTCAACAAATGCCGGGACATAGTTTTTACATTGTGCAAAGCTAGTAGTTTACAACGTTTGATGCAAGTACAGAAGATGGACCATCATAAAACGCATTTTTTTGAAATACAAGCTCATTGCTCCTTTTTTTGAAATACAAGCTCATTGCTCCTATCAACGGCACTTACCCTCTTATAAACTCATCCTTAACCCTTTTTACTTCAATGTGGAACTCTAGAACATACAACAAAAGTCCTGCTTTTTTTGGTGTCAAAACATATCTGCCAAATATGAATTTTCTCCATACTTTGACATTCTGAAATTGTTATAGAGTGAAGAGGGAGGGGAGCCTACCAGGAATGGGAACATAGTGATCACCCCTATGGAGAATCCATGCAATAGCAAGTTGAGCAGGCGAGCATTCATGTTTCTTGGCCAATTCTACTAGACGAAAATATATTCCTTTGTTCTTTTCTAAATTCTGTTCAGTAAACCTTGGATGTTTCTCCTGATAGATTGGGCCAAGTTCGGTTCATCATCAAACTTTATACACTTCTGATTAATTTGAAAATATATAAATCTGTTTCAAGCATACCAAGGTACTGTTAGCAGGCAAGCTCTCCACAACCGCCTTTCCACCAAACAGTCCATGAGCAACAGGGGCGAATGAAACAATCCCAATTCCCAGTTCCCTGTTAATTTATTTAAAGAAGCTTAGAAATTAAGAAATTATGACTCCATTAATGTTTTCATGTCTTTCCTCCATAACACAAATACTGGAGGACCGTGACATCTCATGCAACACTAGCCAACTTATGGGCTATTCCTATCAAATTGCATAGAATTCAAAGTTTTAATATGGTATCGCAACCCATTATGTCCAACGAGTAACTCAATCTTAAAATACACGAAATTTAAAATTGGTTGCAGCAATGGGCTGCCATTTTGTGTGGGCATGTAGAACCATCCCATGGGATGGAATCCATGTCTTAATCCAAGTTTTATTAAGGTACCTGACGAAAAAGCATCAGAAACATTCATTCCAACCAAATAAGTGAGTTAGAAGTTACAAATTTATTCTTCTCATAAGTAGAATGAGCCAGAAGTACCAGAACTGTCTACCAAACAGAGCCTAGAGCTCACTTGCTCATTCAAGTACTAACCTGCAAAGAGGTACGATGTCATTCTCAATGTCACGTGTCCATAAGGAGTACTCGTGTTGGAGAGCAGTGATGGGATGAATAGCGTGTGCCCTCCTTATTGTGTCTGGGTGAGCTTCGGACAGGCCGACATACTTTATTTTACCTTCTTCAACTAATTTCTTCAGTTCTCCCATCTGCAGTGAAACAAAAGCACATACGGCATACAATTAGGAGTCAAATTATAACGTGAGAATAATTTAAATAACACTCATAGTCTGGCATATCCCTGATTCCCTGAGGACGAAAGGCTTCAATCCAAAGATCCTCCAAATTCAAGATTTCAAGTGGAGGTTATCACTTTTTTGAATCAAAATGAAGGCTCAATATTATTGCATACACCTTTACAGCAATCAATAGCTCAAGGAAATCCTACACAGGTAATATCTTCAATTCAACAGTGGCTTCATATTTTTAAACTTGGCTGAAGTTGAATCGTGATTTCCAGTCCTAAAATATCCTCTTTTCTTTGTGTGTGAGGTACTTAGAAAGTACAAGATCATAGTGAAAAATTAGCTTTGAAGGCCGCCTACCTAAGCACTTTAAATGAATGAATCCTGACCATTTCTTCCATAGAATAGCTACCAACACTTAATTCATATTTTATACTAGCTTTGTTTTAATCTATAATGCCTAGATGAGACATTATAGTGTCTGAATCCTGAAATCCAAAACCAAACAATGTAATAAGACTTGTTGAGGTGTCAACTCAAGTTCCACACCAGAAAATAAGCACCGCCAAGATATGAATGTTAACATAAATCCATAAACATGAGGTGCTTGGATGATGCCCGAAACAAATTACTGTGTGCTTGGCCCAAATCAGACAATATCATACTCATGTGAACTTAAGGTGACACTTAGGGTCCTGACAACATCTGTATATGGAAAAAGAAAGTTTCAATGTGATACAAGACAAAGTTTGCAACTAGACAAGAGATGGGACTAAAAAGACACTTACAGTTTCCTCAATAGGCACGGTAGTGTCAATACGATGTATAAAGTAGATATCGATGTAATCAACTTGAAGGCGTTCCAGGCTAGCCTCACAACAGGATCGAACATATTCAGGGTTTCCTTTCACCTCAACCTTATCTGTAACTCCGCATATACCAAACTTTGTAGATAGTTGCACCTTTTCTCTGGGCAAATGCTTCAACGCCTGCAACAACAAACTTAACTAGTTATGTGTAACTCAACAAAAATAAAACTGTCTCAAAGTTCATTATTCTCTTTCATTTTAAAAGGACAAAATATTGTTTGCACATTCTGTGTACCACAAAAAAAGCATTTGTAAAATGCTTTAAACTAGTGATTTTGAGCTTTAACTCTGGTACTAAATTAAAACATAATATTATGCTCCTTTGTTCTTAAGTAACAGACATTAAGGTAAGACAAAATTATGAATTTTAGTTGATTATTAACTCTGGTATAAATCGCATGCAGATCATCCCCAAAAACAGTTTAGTCCTTTTAATATGTTTTACTTTATGACTTTTTAATTGGACAATTATTTGAGAACGAAATATCTTTCTCAATGGACAGTAATTTAATTTAAGACCTAGAATATGATTGATATAAATATTATTGAATTGAATCATGAATATCGTTCATGTGTAATTCATTTAGCTCGAATCTAAGTAACAGACTCAATACAATCGATTAACTAGTTCACCTAAAAATCTTACAAAATTAGAAATATGCTCTCTATCATCATTTGATAGAGTTTGAAATGATGATACGCTGCACAAGTGATATAGTGATTAATCATCATTTTTGTTCTAAAAAAGCAATTTCACCTTCCCAACCAGGTACTCGTTAGAATGATTTGCGCCGTAAACGTCGGCCGTGTCGAAAAAGGTAACCCCTTTACTGAAAGCTTCCCTGAGAATTGCTATCCCTTCTTCCTCTGGAACCGGATTGTTGTACATCCCAGTAAGCCCCATACAACCATACCCCAATCTGGAGACCTGCAGCAAGAAATGAATGCGTGGAATCTCTATATATAAAAACAATTGTGAAGAAACACAAATGAGAGAGAAAAATAAGATGAAAACCTCAAGTCCTTGGCTCCCCAGCTTCACCCTTGGCATTTCAGCAGACGCCATTTTAGTTCGGAATATTGTTCACTTTGGCCGGGAATCGGTATTTATAGGAAAATGAAAATTTTACGGTGCATCGGAAAAGTTTATTGGTTGTGTATCGGAAAGGTCTAGGCCGGTTCTATATTCCTTGCTGGGGATTGAGTTTACCTTACTGATTTGTCTCTATATTCTTTGTAGCATTAGTTAGTTTTCTATTTTAATGATTCTTCCCTTTGTTTTCAATCACCTTCCCTTTTCAATTATTTCTTTTTAAAGGAATAAACTTAAAAAAATTTATGAAATTATTACTAAAATAAAACTTATTTACACAGATATGACTAATAGTTGCTACAATGCAGTGTCATGATAACTTAAGTTTAAACATTTAACATAAGTTAATATGATTTCATTACTACTCTAGTCATTGGTCACATTTTTATAAACAATCTTTATTTTACTCATATGTATGTAATTAGAAATAATCGCAAAAATAGGACTTGAGACGTTTGACTGGACAAAACGAGGACCATTATTCCCAAAGACAAAAAAGATACCAAGGCGCGCATCCACCCGTTCTCGCCTGTTCGTCTCCTTGTCGTTCGTCTATGCAATTCAAACCCTCTTTCGTCCTCTTCCTGTTCTCACCCGCACCGAAGGTCTGCTGCATGCGCCGGCCGCCATTTCAGCACTCACTGACCACCGCTTCAGCATTCACCATCATTTCCGTCTCTCTCATGGTCTTCAGTCTTCACGCCGTCGTTGCCCACCATCCCGACCGTTCTTCTTCTTCTCTTTCTTTTGTCCGTGATTGGGATGCGAACCGGCGACAAGGACTCACGACTAGCAATGGCTAGTGATAGGCGACCACCGGGAACGCCAGACGAGGAGAATGGATGACGATGATCTAGATCCAGTGTAGCGGCACCGGTGGCTAGGGTTAGAGCGGAAGGGGGTTGCGAAAGATGTTGGGGATTTGGGTTGGGGCTGGGGGGGCATAGGCGCGGGGCGACGGCACTCACTAGGCTGGGTGGTGACCGGTCAGGGGAAACGGTGGTGGTTGGGGGTTGGTGGTCGCTGCCTTGGCGGTGGTGGTTACTGGCTGTGTTGGTCATTGGTCGGTTTGGTCATGGTCAGGTTGGTCACTAGTCGGGTGGGTCACCAGTCGAATAAGTCATTGGTTGCATCGGTCACTGATCAGATTGGTCACTGATCGGATTAGTCACTGGCCGGATTGGTCATTGTAATCGTTTGGGTTGATCATTGGTCGAATTGGTCATAGTCACTAATTGAGTTGGTCACTTGTCGGGTTAGTCACTGGCCGAATTAGTCACTGGTAAAATCGGTCATGGTCAGTTGGTCACTAATAATTTAGACTCATTTTTGGATTTTTTTCAAAAATGGTTCTATATTTGTCTATAACACTTATTTTTGTATTGTTAATGGACAAATCCTATGTAATTATTTCTAAACTAAATTTTCAGTTTTTATGGAAAGGGTATTTATGAGAAAAGATTTTTATGGGAGGGGTGTTTTCACAACTTGCAAATTTCTATATACTAGTATATTATATTCCCTACATATGAGCATGTTGGTTTATAGGGTGTTTGGAAAATGGCGTTGTTTGACACCTTTTAGCGTTTTCAATAAATGAAAACGTAAGATATTCCCTTAGAGAAGGTGAGAGCATCTCTCACTAAACCATTCGCGGTTTGGTCTCTTCTTGAGCGGAAATCACTCATTTCTCACCATCTTCTTATTTGATTCTTCTGTTTTGAGTTTGGATTCTAGGTATACTACCTCCTATGCTTCTTTGGGTTGTAGTATCTCCAAAGTTTGAGCTCATTTCCGAAGTTTTTGAGCAAGTTAAACTCTTTTTCACTTCACAGAAACACTATTCACCTTCGAAGGTCAACGTCATTTCCGGTTGATCCTCTTGATCATTCTTGGATTTGAAGGTATATTTGGCTTCTCCTACCTGTGGGGATCAAGCAAATCTACATTTTTACATCATCAAAGAACTTCCATTTTCATCATCACCTCCAACGGTCATCTACTTTCGACGCCATTTGTACGGAACTCAAAGAACTCAAAGGTACATGTCACGCTTTTGAGGGGGTTGCTACCTCTTAGCTTCCCCTTCTTACTGCCATGGGTACCAAAAAGAAGAAAGAACATCAACCTCCCACCAAAGCTTCCTCTCGGCTTAGAGCCAAAGCCCAATCAAAAGAAATTGATGAAGCTATAGATGCTATGGCGCTTGAGAAAGATGTTTCGCTTTGTGAGAAGGATATATCTCTCACCTTGAATGAAGATGCTAGCTCACCGAAGTCACCTCTTCTTGATGCTAGCTCCTCCAAACCGAATACACCGCTTCTTGATGACAACCGTATTGAGGAGGTAACTACTTCACCTTCTCCTATTACTATTGAAAACACAACGGTGAAGGACCATCTAGATGAGGTCATTGTTGAGGATGTGATTGAGGAAAGTGATCCTGAATATGTAATTCACCCTCTTGCTATGAAGATGTTGGAAGGAGACAAAGAAACTAGCAGCGGACAATTTACTCACTCCCCAAGTGATAAACTGTTAGAGGACATGGACAAATTAGGGGCTCTTGTCCCCTTGGACAAATCTAATGCTGCGGCATTAGAGGCTTCTATTGTCAAGACTCACTTTAAGTGGGGGCAACCTGGTACAAAGCCTACATTTGTATCTCTTTTCAAGGACAATAGACAACCGGACAAGGGTATGAAATTACACTACATTGAACCTAAGGGTGACATCATTGACCTTAGCAACCACAAGTTATCTTCCATGATTCAAATATGGGGCTATTGTCTTATGGCCTACTTTGATGGACGTTTTCCCGGGCTAAAGAGCATTCATGAAATGGTACAAAAATGGGGAGTTCCTTGCCGAGTCAGATCTCATGATAGGGGCTGGGTTATTTTCAAGTTCCAACATGAAGAAGATAGGGCCAAAGTACGGGAGTACTTATGAAAGGGCCGTATTCCCTCTTTGGGAAAATTGTTCATCTCAAAACCCTTTCCGAGGACTTTTCTATGGATGTTGAAGAATTTCTAAAGGTCCCAATTTGTGTGCTCTTTCCACATTTACCCATGAGGATTTGGGAATAATGCATAAGTGAAGTGGCATCTAGAGTGGGCACACCTCTTACCACGGATAGAGTCACTCTTAAAAAAGCAAGACCATCTTTTGTTAGGGTCTTGATTGAGGTAGATTCTTCCAAACCTCCTCCTCCTCAACTCCAAGTAAGGCTGCCCAATGGTAAACTGCACACTCAAAGTGTGAGGTATGAAACATTTCCGAACTATTGTTTTCATTGTAAATGCTTTGGCCACCATTGCTTTACTTGCAAGGTAATAGCCAAGAATGAAAGAAAGGAGGTGGAAGCAAAGAAGGCACAACAACAGGCTGAGAGTGGAGCTTCTAAAGAAAGTGAAGAAGAACCTCCACAAAAACAAGACAAAGGCAAACAAGTCATTTCGGATGGAAATGGCACATATCCTCCCCCATTAAGTCTCCAAAGAAGGACCGTCCCTTCTTTAGGCTTATAATGACTGTTAGATATGGGAAGAGAAGGCTTACAAAAGGGGATGGGGATAGATCTTCCGGATATACAACACAAAATGAAGACAAAGAAGACCAAACCATAAGATGTGTGAAATCTTTTCATGAGATATATTCGGATGACGTTATTATTGACATGGAACCGTAGGAGTTCCTTAATCCTATCATCAAGGTTAAGCATGTAGATGAAGTTGAAAAGGAGGCAAACATACTCAAACTTGTGTATAACTTGAATCTTGTTGATCACAAAGAGCCCGGGGTTTTTTCACAAAGGAGTGTCTTGAAAGCTTACCGGATGTTAGACCTATAGATCAAGGATATACTTTTGGCCCTACATTCATGAGGGGAGTTTATAGACATTATCTTAACCGATTCTATTAGGAAGGATGTTTGAGAGGGAATGCATGCAAAGTTAAAGATCCAAGGAAGGTTAAACGTGACCAAACCCGTGTGGTCCCTGACATAAGGGATGCATATTTAGATGATGTTATCACAAAGGTCGAACTACCTCAAGATCAGCCACCAAATATCGATGTATTGCATCATGAAGAGATCAAGGAACAGATGGTTAGACTTGACAACTACCTTAGTGTTGAGAACGAAGCTTCAAGCACCAAAGGCATCACCTTAACCACTACATGCCTTAAACCTCTACCCGGAACCATTCCAACCGAAGAGGGGTATGTGTTTACTTCATCTTTATTTGATAAGCCATATTTTTTGTTATTTATAAGGTCTCAAAGCAAAACCTTGTCTTTAATTTTTTGAATTCTAATAACGTACATGTGTGTTGCTTACTTGAAACCAAAATGAACACCCCAAACTTTGAAAAGTTTAAAAGTAAGAGATGGTCTTCTTGGTCATTTATTACTAACTTTGATAAGATTGATGGTGGGCGTATTGCTGTGTTTTGGAATCCTAATTTTGTTCATGTTAATGTGCTTGAAATTGATAAACAACATGTTCATTGTGAATTGAAATGCATGACTACTCAACTTGTCTTTTATGTTACTTTTGTCTATGCACTTTATTTGGTTGTTGAGAGGAAAATACTTTGGGATCATATAGCCCTCTTGGAACAGTCCATTAATAGTCCTTGGCTAGTTATGGGAGATTTTAATTGTGTGTGTGGCCCTAATGAAAGGGTGGGGCCCACCCACCCCATCGGCCTACCACCTTCAAGACCTAAACGATCTCAAAGTACAAGCAAATCTTGTTGACTCTCCTTCTACGAGTGAATTCCTAACTTGGAATAGAGGATCCCTTTGGGCTAAACTTGATAGAGTCCTTATGAACCCTCTTTGGGGTACTCATGGGATCTCTTGTAATACTCTTTCATGACATGGAAGTTGAATTTGACCATGTAGCTTCTATAGTTACACTCGGCCAAACCAACAATGTTGGCTCCAAGCGCTTTAATTTTTTTAACATGTGGCTTAAACATGAGACTTTTAAGACCACTCTCACCTCTCATTGGTGTAAGGCTGTCCATGGAAGCTCTCAATTCATATTGGCCCAAAAATTGAAACTTTTAAAGAATCCTCTTAAAGACCTAAACAAAAACTGTTTTAGCCACATTTGTGAGAGGGTCAAGGAGTCTAA